TAGCAGCGAGATCTGCGGCGACGTCACCAGTGTCCGGGCAGAAGTGGCCGACACAGGTTGGACAAGTGAAACTGGGGAGACAGGGAATCCCCAGTGCTGAGCTTCCCCACCCAGAGCAGCTCTGGCTCTGAGATGATGAGATCTAGGTCCGTGCACCTTCGGTTTCGTCCTGATCCCTGTTCCCCCCGCACCAGCACTCTGGTCCAGCCTCTTCTGGGTTTGGCCTGTGGACAAAGTTAGAGGTTCTCAGAGAGTTTGCTTCTATGATCTCTGCACACTCACACATTCATGCTGACCCCAAAGGTACTTGTATCACTTGGGTTTTGTCAGTATTCACTGTTAGGGCTGGGAATATGGTGTAGTGGTAGAGTGCTTGCCTAGCATGTTTGAAACTCTGCGTTCCATTCCTCAGCACCACATGTGAAGAAAAAGCTGGAAGTGGTGCTGTAGTTCGAGTGGTAGAGTGCTAACTAGCCTTGAGCTAAAGAAGCTCAGGGACGGTGTCCAGGCCCTGTTCAAGGCCCAAGACTGGCCAAAAATGATCACTTCTAGATATGAAAGTATTTTTTTTTTCTTTTTTTTGGCTGGGGGGAGGGGTTTCAGTCGTGGTCCTGAAGTCTGGGCCTGGGCACTGTGTCCTTAGGTGCTTTAGCTCAAGTCAAGTTAGCACTCTAGTACTTGAGCCACAGCACCACTTCCAGCTTTTTCTTCATATGTGGTGCTGAGGAATTGAACCCAGGGCCTCATGCATGCAAGGCAAGTGATCTCCCACTGAGCCACCTTCTCAGCCCATGAAACAGTCTTTTTTTTTTTTGGTCCGGTCGTGGGGCCTGAACTCTGGACCTGGGTGCTGTCCCTCAGCTCTTCAGCTCAAGGCTAGCGCTCTACCACTTGAGCCACAGCACCACTTCCGGCTTTTTTCTTAATGTGGTGCTGAGGAATCGAACCCAGAGACTCATGCATGCAAGGCAAGCGATCTACCATTGACCCACCTTCCCAGCCCATGAAACAGTCTTTAAAGCTGATGGCTCATGCCCTGTAACCCTCTCTAATTGGGAAGCAAAAATATGAGGATAGAGGTTCAAAGCCAGCCAGGGCAGGAAGCTCCCTGAGCCTCTTGTCTCCAATTAACTACCAGAAACTGGGAAGTGGTGCTGGGATTCTAGATGATGGAGTGCTAGCTTTGAGTATAAATGCTCAGGGACAGCACCCAGGTCTGAGCTCAATCCCCTTGACCAAAACAACAACAGGCCTTCAAAGTACTTGACTTGGGGCTAGGAATGTGGCTCAGTGGGAGAGTGCTGGCCTAGCATGCATGAAGCCCTGGGTTCAATTCCTTAGTTCCACATAAAAAGAAAAAGCCAGAAGTAGCACTATGGATCAAGTAGTACAATGCTAACCTTGAACAAAAAGAAGTTCAGGGACAGAGCTCAGACCCTGAGTTCATCAAGCCCCAAGACAGGAACAAACAAACAAAAAGCTTAAGTTTTCCTGCTCCTAGTGGCTCATGATTTTAATCCTGGTTACTCAGGGATCAGAGATCTCAGAATCCCAGTTGGAAATCAGTTGGTTCAGGAAACTGGGAGACACTTTTCTTTTTTCTTTTTTTTTTTGCCAGTCCTGTGGCTTTGACTCAGGGCCTGGGCACTGACCCTGAGTTCTTTTACTCTAGGCTAGCACTCTACCACTTGAGCCACAGCACCACTCCTTGCTTTTTCTGGGTATGTGATACTGAGTAATCCAACCCAGAGCTTCATGCATGCTAGGCAAGCATACCAGCCCTCTTATCTCCAATGAACTACTCAAAAAACCAGAAGTGGTGCTGTGGCTCAAATGTTAGAGAGAGCACTAGCCTTGAGCAACAGAAGCTCATGGACCATGCCTGGTCCAACGACCAGCAAATATAAATAAATACATAACTTGAGAAAAATGGAGACACAGAGGGTGAAGAAATGCAGCAGTGCTATGCACTAGATGTGCATGTGAAAAATAAACTATACAACTAGTGGGTGAGGCCAGAAGGGAAAAACTGGGAAAGCAAGAGAAGGGCTGACATTGTCCAAAAAGAAATGTTCTCTTCACCTGACTTCTGAAACTGTAACCGCTGTGCGCTCACCTTTAACATAACAATAAATCCTTCAGTTGTTTATAATTCTAATAAGTTTTTTCAAGTTAACAGAAACAATTGTTTATCAGTCTTGTGTGGTTTTGTGTGTTGGTGCTAGTTTCAGGCCCTGGGTGCTGTCTCTTAGCTATTTTGCTGAAGGCTACCACTCTGCCAGTTGAGCCACAGCTGCACTTTTGGGTATTTTGCTGATTAATTTGCAGTCTAGAATATCATGGTTTTCCTATTCTGATTGGCTCTGAACTTTGGAATGGCACCAACGTGGAGAGAATCCACTTGGCTTTTTCACTCACAGCTGGCACTCTACCACTTGAGCCATACATCCAGTGCCACGTTTTTGCTGGTTAATTGTAGGTAAGAGTCTCAGATTTGTCTGCCAGGGCTGGCTTCAAATCTTCATCCTCAGACTTCAGTCTGATTATAGGTGTGAGCCTACAGTGTCTAGTTGATACTGTGATAAATTGAGATGTATCACCCTAAAATCTGAAGAGCTTACTTGCAAAGAGAAACTCTTCTTCATAAGGAAAATGTAGAACTGGGAAGGTGCAAATTCTGTAATAGGCAGGATGTTGACATTCCTCAGCTCACACCGCCTCATCATCGCCAGGGCTGGGTTCTAGGAGGCTGTTATACACCAAACTGTTCCTGCGACCATCTCTTGGAGGCATCCCCAACACATTCACTCACCCTTTGTCTCGAGAATTCCTTTCCCTTAAGCTAGCTTGATTCAGTTTCTAGTACTCAGAGCCAAAAACCTCTTAATAGTTTTTTTCTAATTTTTGTTTTTGTTTTTTGGGTGTCCCTCAGCTCTTCAGCTCAAGGCTAGCGCTCTACCACTTGAGCCACAGCTCCACTTCCGGCTTTTTTCTTTTTGCTTATGTGGTGCTGAGGAATCGAACCCAGGGCCTCATGCATGCAAGGCAAGCACTCTACCACTGACCACATTCCCAGCCCTCAATAATGTTTTAATGTTTGTCTTCTGCTTTTCCACGAAACTGTTGGCTCTACAAGGGAGAATAACTTTTTTGAGTGTGTGTGTGTGGGGGGGGATGTTAGTTGTGGCACCTGGGCTCTGGGCCTGGGCATTGTCCCTCAGCTCTTCAGCTCAAAGAGAGCACTCTACCACTTGAGCCACAGCGCCACTTGCAGTTTTCTGGAAGTGGTGATTAGAGTCTCATGGACTTTCCTGTCCGGGCTAGCCAATTTTTATGTTAAGACTCCAATCCTAGCCGGGCGCTGGTGGCTCACGCCTGTAATCCTAGCTAGTCAGGAGGCTGAGATCTGAGGATCGTGGTTCAAAGCCAGCCCGGGTAGGAAAGACTGTGGGACTCTTATCTCCAACAAACCTCCAGAAAACCGGAAGTAGCGCTGTAGCTCAAGTGGTAGAGCACTCACCTTGAGCTGAAGAGCTGAGGGTCAGCGCCCAGGCCCAGAGTTCAAGCCCCACGACCGACCAAAAAAAAAACAAAACAAACTTCTGCCATCTAATATGGAGTATGAAAAAGTAAGCTGAGTCCATGCCATGGAAGAGTGCTTCTCGGTGAGGAGTAGGCTTTTTCAGTGATGGGAACAAGGAACAGCTTTGCCACCAGGCCTTACTGTCCTAAACCCACAAAGCAATTGTCACTTATCACCAATTGGTTCCAGTTTCCTGTCTGTTTACAGACACATACACATGCCAAGCAGCAGCAGCCCCCTCTCTTCATCAGCTGCATGCACACACACACACACACACACACACACACACACACCTGCTTATCTCCATGAAAACTTGCAGCCAGTAGCTGCAAGTCACTTAGCCAGGGCTAAGTCCCTCCAAGGTTTGCTTTAATAAAACCTCCTGCCTCTCACTCTCATTGCTCATTCAAACCTTAAGCTCTTTCCTGACAGACTTGTTGGATGCAAGGCAAATGACACATAAGAAGAGATCTCAGAAATACCAATGTGCACACCACAGTACCAATATCTGTTACCTTTCAGGTCATCCAAATCAAGGAAAGACATACTTCATCCCTACTCCAGTGCAATGCATAGGATAGATGAGTTGGCCTTGGTCCTTGTGTCTGGCAAGAGCATTCCAGCAAGACAGGAACATCATAAGGGTCAGAAGGAAGCTTGTTAGAAGAAAAACTGTGGGAAAGATGGCACAAAGAGGGCTGGGAAGGTGGCTCAGTGGTAGAGCACTTGCCTTGCAAGCCAGAGGCTCTGGGTTCGATTCCTCAGCACCACATAAGCAAAAAGCAAAAAGCCGGAAGTGGCGCTGTGGCTCAAGTGGTAGAGCGCTAGCCTTGAGCTGAAGAGCTGAGGGACAATGCCCAGGCCCAAAGTTCAGGCCTCACGATTGACCCCCCCCAAAAAAAAAGATGGCACAAAGAAGTGAGAAGGAGCTAGCCCAAATGTCCCTTGCTCCTCAGGCTAACTGCATTGCTGACCCAAAAGGAGATGACATTTGTAATTGAATCAATTATATTGATCCACCAGGTTCTGTGTGAGAAGCTGATATTTTGTTTGTTTTTTTCATCAGATTATCTGCTTAAACCACCAAACGTTACTTTCCACACCAGAATCTACCACTGCAACAGCAGGCAAGAGCCAGGGAGCCCTCAGACCCAACATCCTTACCCACGTATACAGGGTTAGCTGCATCTTGTTCCCTTCTGACACACTACACCCTTGCAGATAATGTGGTTGGAAGCACACCCACTCAGTATTTGACCAACAGAGCAGAATATGACAGGATAGCCAGACAGTGGACACAGAGATACTCCACTGAATTCAAACCATTTGTATGCAGTGTAAAGGAACCAAAGTCTTCTTCTTGCTGTGCTGCAAAACTCTATACCCTTTACAATGTGGGTTTCTGTGCATGTGTTATCTGACTCTACTCTTTGCTTTTATCCTTTGGAGACTGGCAGACTCTCTCAAAAGGTAAATGCTATGAAGAGTAGCACTTTATAGTTGTAGACGTATTATGTTTAGAACGTCTAATTAGCCACTTCTGGTGGGCATTCGCCACCAATTGGCTTCAATCTGAGGATAGAGGTTCAAAGCCAGCCAGGCAGGAAAGTCTGTTAGATTCTTATCCCCAATTATCTGCCAGAAAACTGGAAGTAGTACTATGGCTCAGAGTGGTAGAGCAATAGACTTGAGCAAAAGATCTCAGGGACAGTTCTCAGGCCCTGTGTTCAATTTCCTGGACCAAAAGAAATAAAAAAGAAAGTAAGAAAATATCTCTTTGTACCTGTTGCTAGTGGCTCATGCCTGGAATCCTAGTGACTCAGGAAATCCTAGTGAGTCTAAGGAACAAGGTTCAGTCTGTGAAACTGGTATCTTCCATGAACTACCAAAAAGGCAGAAGTGGTGCTGTAGCTTAAGTAGTAGAGTACTAGTGTTGTGAGGGAACTCAGATCAAGAAACACAGAAGCCACTGTTTAAGAGACTCAATTAGGAGTCTTTATTGGAGAGCAGGTAGACTGCTGATAGACTCTTTCTCAAACACCAGCAGCTGCAAATGCAGCTAGCACAAAGCTTATATGATCAAATCCACATAAGTTGTGAGGAATTTATCCTAACAAATTAGTGTACAGAAGCAAAGATAACCAGATGAAGACACTTAAATGTAATAAAGGTGTTAAAAAGAAGCAAAGACAATTATCTAAGGGAAGGAAGACTTTCCTGGAGCTTAGCAACTCAGGACACCTGTGTAATCCAAAGAATGTCCTCTATCACCTCGAGTGTTTCAGAGCTGTGTGGAAAGCCCCCTGTGCCCAGCAAGGCACCAAGATGGCTGTAAGGACAAGGCATATTGCTTCAAGCATATTGCTTAGACCCAACCTCCTAACTGCACTGGCTTTAAGAGAAAAAAACCTCAGGGACAGCTCGCAGGCTCTGAGTTTAAGTTCAGGACCAGGCCCATATTCTACTGACAAGTCTTGCTTTTGTGGAGCTATCTATCAGTCTATCTTGGTGTTGATCCTGGTGCTTGAATTAAGATTTTGAGTGCTGTCTCAGAGCTTTATTTTTATTTTTATATTTTTGTCAGTCATGGGGCTTGAACTCTGGGCTTGGGTGCTGTCCATGCGCTCTTTAGCTCAAGGTGAGCACTCTACTGCCTGAGCCACAGTGCCACTTCTGGTTTTTTAGTGCTTTATTGGAGATAAGAGTCTCACAACTTTCCTGCTCGGGCTGACTTTTTTTTTTTAAGTTATTATTTATTGTGAAAATGCCATACAAAAAGGGGGTTACAATTACATGAACAAGGTAATGAGTACATTTCTTTCTTTCTTTCTTTTTTTTTGGTAGGTCATGGGACCTGAACTCTGGGCCTGAGCACTGTCCCTAGCGCCCTACCCCTTGAGTCAAAGCGCCACTTCCAGCTTTTTCTGCTTATGTGGTGCTGAGGAATCGAACCCAGGTTCTCATGCACGCAAGACAAGCACTCTACCACTGAGCCACCTTCCCAGCCCCATGAGTACATTTCTTTTGTTTTTTTTTTTTTGTCGGTCGTGGGGCTTGAACGCTGGGCCTGGGCGCTGTCCCTCAGCTCTTCAGCTCAAGGCAAGCGCTCTACCACTTGAGCTACAGCGCCACTTCCCAGTACATTTCTTATTATGCATTGTTGCCTCCTTCTTGTTTCCCCTTATCCTCCCTGCCCTCCCATCCCCCCACCCCTACCACCCTCACCCCCTATACAGGAGTTCTTCCCCCCCCCCTCCGACATCCTGGGGATTGAACTCAGTGCCTGGGTACTGTCCCTGAGCTTCTTTTGCTAAAGGCTAGCACTCTACCACTTGATCCACAGCGCCACTTCCAGCTTTTTCTGTTTATGTGTTACTGAAGAATCAAACTCAGGGCTTCATGCATGCTAGGCAAGCACTCTACAACTAAGCCACATTCCCAGCCCCCAGGCTGGGTTTGAACCATGATCCTCAGATCTCAGCCTCCTGAGTAGCTGGGATTATATGCGTGAGCCACTGGTGCTCGGCCTTATTTTTTATTTTAAGGCTAATACTCTACCACTTGAACCACACAGCTTTTTGTGGTTAATTAGACAGAAGAATCTCCTGGGCTTGGGGGCTGGGAAGGTGGCTCAGTGGTAGAGCGCTTGCCTTGCATGCTCAAGGCCCTGGGTTCGATTCCACAGCACCACATAAGCAAAAAGAAAAAAGCTGGAGGTGGCACTGTGGCTCAAGTGGTAGAGT